GGCCTCAGGGTTGCCCACTGTAGGTGACTGCAGGGACACCTTTCCATGCGCGACATGGCACTACAAACACCCGGTATTATACAACTGTTGATCAAGCAGCCGCTCAAGACGCTACACAAGAGTTAGGGCTCCTAACTACCAGTCGGAAACAACAACCAGAGAATTGTCAACCGTGTACCCTCAGAATGAAGAGGTGATGCCACAGACTGCACACATCATGGGAGAAACAGAGCTGCACTAATACAGATGCCAGAGAGAGAGAGTACGGGAACCCCTTCCTAAACAAGAAACAAGGCGTAAGCCTCTACTCATGTCCAAGAGAAGTGGGAGGAGTGTTGACCATTTTGGGGTGTATTGTACAAGTTGGTAAAAGTTCAGAAGAGATTTCAGAGTTCAGATTGCGTGAATGTTGGTAATGGTCTTTAACGTCTGACCCATAATTAGCTAAAAAGGGAGTTCTTGAAGATTACATCTTGGTACTTGGTAGAAAGGAATGAGACGGTTATTAAGAGAGAGATGAATGAAAAGAAACTCAGGAATTTTCCATGTTCTGTTTATATAATGGTTGTGTATCATATGGGAGGCTCCAGGCATAGTATTGACTGGGAAAACAGATTGGTCGCGTGCATAAGAGTTTGATTGGTCGGAACTGACCAATCAAAAAATTTGATTGAAGGTGATTGACCAATGAATACTTGTTATATATTTTGTAAGATTGTGATGGTGAAAATTATAACAGGAATAGTGCATTTCCTAGCAGGGGTTAACTAGCTTGTTGTGGAAGAGTCCACAAAAGCTTAGCGACTGACTAGTGTTAGCTTCGACTTCACATCAATCTCTAACTTTATTTCTGATAGGATCCCATTTGTCTCTAGAAGATTCAGATTTCATGGATGCATGGATTCGCTGTTTAAGTATTTCAAAAGACAATTAAAAAGCTGAAAGACAACAAGGAGAAATTTTTTAAAATGAAATTACGGATTTATTTTTTGGCTACAGCTGGAAAAAGCGATAATGAAAATCTCCACTATGGCATATCCCACAAACTTGGAAAACCTGACTTTTGAAAAAATAAGCAAAGATTATAAGGAGAAATATGAGACCCAAGAAAAGGCTGGTAGTGGCAGAAGAATGAAATCAAGTTCATGTCGATGAAACAAGAAATTGTTAACCAATTATAAAATATCTACACCATCGTTTAAATGTGAGTAGATATTGCGAATATGAAAAACTCGGACAAGTTACAAACAAACTATTGAAGAGGACTTGATTCAATTAAAGGAAAATTGAAGGTATGTGCAATGCATCACACTGATATAAAATAATGGAACAACTACAAATAGGAAATATGTCTTTAAATACATGCATTGTTTTTATACAGCAACAAAAATTAAACAGAAATACAACCATCAAAAAGTCAAAAAAAAACAAATATTTTGCTGATACGTTACATGTTAAAAAGATTTAAGAAAATGTTCGTATTGTGGACGTGAACACGATATAAAAAGGGAAAAAATGCAAAGCATTTGGAAAAAACCTGTACAAATTTTTTAAAAAAGAACCACTTTCAAGCAGTATGCAAATTCAAAAAAAAAAACGTTGAAAGAGTTGAAGAAAATGAAACCAATATGGAAGTCTTCACATTAAAAAATAAGAATATAGAAAAAATTGAACAAAAAAAAAAAGACATACTAAAGGTTAAAATCAACAACTGCAATTTAGATATGCAAATTGATAAATATTTTTAAAAATAATGTTTGATACCAAAAAAATTTTGGGGAATGCATTGAAAAGCCACAAACGAAAAAAGCAGTTTATAATTATTTCCGTCCATTTTGATCATTAAAAAAAATTATAAAAACTTTAGGATACTTCCTTGGAATTAGAAGATAAAGACATAAAAATTTTAATACTTATAATTAAATAAGTTGTAAAAAGAACCACGGACTTCTTGGAGTGAATCAAAAAAAATATAAATTCTACCAAATTAATTAATGAGATAAAAATGGAAAAAGTTTTTAAATTTAAAAACTATAAAAAAAAAGTTTAAAATTAAAAGAAAATGTCTCCTTCTTATTATGAAAACACGAAAATTACCAGTACATTTGTTGACATTAGTAGTAACAAAACTACAAAAATTAATAGAACAAGATATTTCTTGAACAAAACAGAAAGTGGGCATCACCCATTGTAGTTTTGAGGAAGACAGATGGTGATTTATGTATTTGTGGAGATTACAAAATAGGTGTAAATCACAAAGTTTGTTTGGATTCATATCTTATACTGAATGTTGAAGTTGCATTACATGCACTGGCAGGAATGAGCGTTTTTACAAAAATAGATTTAAAACATACCACCAAGTACCAATAGACAATAACTAAAAAAATAAGTAAAAATAATATTTTTTTCTGAAATAGGGTTAGATGGAAAAGGATGCCATATGGAATAAAACTGCAAGCGCCATATTTCAAATTTAAATAAACAGGTTTTAGAAAATATGAAAAATATGATTTGTTACCAAGACGATATATATGCATAGGAGCTACTAATGAAAATGAATTAAAAAAAGAAAACAGACATAATCTTGAATAGATTAAGAAATGCTGGATTGACAATAAATGAAAAAAAATGTAAATAAATTGTAGTAAAATATATTTTTAGGTTATTCCATTTCAAAAGAAGGCATATCAACAGACCAAGCCTTGATAGAAAAAAACTAAAAGTAGCTACACCTACAAATATAAAAAAAAATGGAGTCTTTTTTTGGGATTTTTTAAATTTTTACAGGCGATACTTACCAAAAATACATGGACTTGACGGAACCGTTTGCAAATTTAAAAAAAAAGAATGTGGAATTTATATGGTCAGATGAACAGCAAAAAGCTTTTGAAAGATTAAAAGAAATTATGTCAAAGAAACCTGTAGTGAAAATGTTTGATCCAAAAAAGGACATAACAGATGCAAGTGAACATTCAATATCGGGAATATTATCACAAGGAGGACATTCGATAATGTATTTATTGAGAAGATTAACGAACACTGAATTCAATTACTTGAACATAGAGAAAGAAGCATTGGCTATTGTGTGGACAACTACTAGAACCCGACAATTTTTAATTGTGAAAAAATTTCTGTTAAGAAGTGATCATAGACCATTAAAGTTTATATTTAACCCAAGGAAAGAATTACCCAAAGTCACGACATCGAGGATACTAACATGGGCAATAAGATTAATGGCATTTGACTTTGATATAGAATATGTCAAAGGAAATTCAATTCCACACATAGATGCACTATCAAGATTGCAATTTTACAAGGAGTCAAAAGATAAAACAGAAGAAAAATTTGAAGATGCATTCTTACATTGGGTAGAGACTGATGTTTTGTCTTTAGATAGAATACCTTAATGCGAAACTAGACATGATCCAGTACTAAGTAGGATAATATCTTGAGAATAAGAAAAAACTCATGGGGAAATTGTTTTAGAAATGGAAAAACCTACAAAGAAATAAGACAGAAATTAACGATAGAACATGGATTGATTTGTAATGGGGATCTGGTAGTTCCCCAGAAACACAAAGAAAATTGGTATTAAAAAGTATACATGATGATATACACTTATAAATCTTGCCACAAAAAAAGGATAAAATTAGAAGCATGGTGGCCAGGATATTCAAGAGATGTCCTTGAAGAATATATAAAAAGGTGCAAAAAATGTAAAGAATTAATTTTTTTTACACAGACTACTTTTACATTAGTGGCCCAGAGAAATGGAGCCATGGATTTTTTTTGATATGGATGTATTTATATTGAGTGGGACACTTATTAATTCTAGTAGACTTTTTTCAGGCTGGCCTGAAATAATCCGTTTGCCAGACAAGAAAAGTTCTATGATAAAACAGATTCTAAGGGTCATATTTTCCAGAAATGGCATACCAAAAACCCTGGTATCTGACATTTACCAGAATTTTGAGATGAAGATCTTAATTTATGGTTAGAAAAAATAGGATGTAAACCATATAAGACACCCCATATCACCCTCAATCTCGAAAATTTTAATGGAAAGAATGATGCAAATCATAAAAATAGGACTAAAAGCATGCTCCCAGCAAAAAGGAAAAGTAGAAGTTTTTCTACTGAGGCTGCTTTTAATCTATCGCACAATACCACACGCTGGAAGACTAGAAAGTCCATCAGCTTTAATGGTAAGACAAATCAGAGCTCTACTAACGATGTTGTATCCCACGAATGAAAAAATGTGGTACAAAAAGAACAAAGAAGCAAATCCAGAAATGGCAGAATTTATCATGCAAAAAGGCCACAATACAGCTATAATAAATAGAGAAAACAGCAACAGTGTATTATCCCATGCAGATCAAATAAGGACCCAGGGTGAATATGAAGAGCAAAATGATGAAGAAATATCTACGATTCTGTCCGTTAATCTTTTTATCATAAACAACCGTTACAGAATGAAACATCAGAAGATGAAATAATGCAGGATCCATTTTGGGCCAGAATGAGTTTGAAACTTTGGACAAAGATCAAATAATGCAAGAAGATGCATTATGATTACAGCTTAGAAGGACAGATCTAGGTCTCCCAGAAAAGAAAATGAGAGAGAGAGAAGTAGAGCAAAGTAATGAAACTATCACGAGAAGAAGTACAAGAACTACTATAGGTTTCAGGGAGATTTAGTGACAATTAATATACCTAATTTGCATAAGTGCAAGAGAAAGCCTATTCTATAAAATCACTGAGAATAATAATAAATGAAGACAAGTTTTTGACTGACTAAGTTTTAAATTTCAATCTATTTCTATCTATTAGTAGTTACAAGGCATAAAATTTTGGGTTTAGTGATATTAACTCTAGTTTCTATTTTAAAATTTACAAGCATATTTTACATAATTTTTTTTTTCATGAATTGTCTTTGATTCTATATTTTATAAAGTCTAACATCCTCTTCTATTTTCCCTTTTTGTGTATATCTTTTAAAGCTTACGTTATCACCAGTTACATCCTGAATATATTCATACTCGACTGAAGTCTTTGGGAAAGAGTTATGATCTTCGTGTAATGTTAGTCCAGGTTGATTTGGTGAGTTGCTCATATAATTTGTTTTCCAAATCTTATTTTTTATTACAAGAAATTTTTCTCAAATAAAATTTTTGCGAAATCATGTTGATTTCACTTTAAAGTTTTCTACCTAATTTTATAGTTTTTTTGCTTTGAAATATCAGCTGTTAACAGATGAGTCGACCTTGTGTTTGAAAATGGAAACATAAGCTATAAACAAACTTAAAATATTGAAATATAGAAACAAAAAAATGTTTTTTTCCTCTATTCATCTGTATTATTTATGTTTGATATAAACAGGAATAACAAATGTTACCAGGAGAGAAAAATGTAACATGAGTCAAAAATATGTTCTTTAACTCATTTATTTTTACATAGTTTGTTTATGTTAATGCTGTAGTCTCTTTTGTGGAATATATGGCCACAGCCTCACTGTTCTAAATCTTCTTACATAGTCTTACTATAATTTTAAATTTTCAATCAGAACTAGTTTTCTTATATAATAAAGTATTTTCACAACCCTACATCAATTAAGCTTTAGAGATGATACAAATAGAAATCCTGGCAAACTTGAACCATCATTCCTGCAAAAAAATAGTGTCAAAAGGACAGTTTTTCCATTCACACCGCTATTATTTTAACTACCTTCACTCCTTGGCAATGTTTATTTTTTTAAATGCAATGATTAGAATTGTAATAAAACCTAGACATATGAAAGTGAATTTATACATTTTCTTTGTTCTTGAGAATTGACAACAAAAATAATAAACACTATTCATTTATTCGATTGTTTGTTTACATTGTTTATTATATTGGAATGGTTGGTAAAACATCAGTTAATTGCCAATTGATTCAAACTTTATAAAATGGTAAATAATAAGGATTTCCTTATAGCTGGCTTACATATTTTAATTTAGTAAATATTAATAAATTTATGAATAAAAAATTGTTTTCATATTTGCTTCTTTATAAATTGGTAAATGACAAATATTGCATTGCATTAGTTTTAATTCTATTAGTTTTTAGAATGTTGTTAACATAAAATTATTCTTGTAAATAAACAATCTAATAAATGTTTAATATTTTTGTTGCAAATTCTCAAGAACAAAAAAGTATAAATTCACTTTCATTGTATGTTTAAGTTTTATTACAATTCTAATCATCACTTTTTTTTAAAGCAATAAACATTGCCAAGGAGTGAAAGTAATTAAATTAATAGCAGTGTTAATGGAAAATCCATCCTTTTGACACTCCATTTTTTTTTATGGGCACAAAAGTTCAAGTTTGCCAAAATACTAATAGCTTACATCACTGGGACAAACATGACCAAACTGGGACATACGGTAAACCTATTCTTATATAATAACAAATGAAGAAAAGATTCCACTATGTCAGATTTTATTACACAAGTCAATATTTTTATAATAAAATTGTTATCAACCAATTGGCATTAAAATTCTCAGAATATATTTATATAATCATTATACAGCGTGACATTCAGCTTTTAATATCTATTCTTATTAAAAATATTGATAATAATTTATTTGGGGAGAGTCAAGTTTTATTATGCAAATAAATTAAGTGCAATCAATTTTTTTTTTTTATATATATATAAATAAACCCCAAAAAGATTAGTAGGCCATAGAAACATTTGAATAATATATCACATATACCTAAATAAATGATTATTTTATATATTAATATGCTCTCCTTGACATTCTATAAGCTTCATTAATCTTTTGCCTATTGATTTTGTTAATTTTTTTTATTGTTTTTACTAACATTTCTTGTATAAGTTTTTATTGCTTCTCAGAGATTGTTTTTTTTTTTAATATTGTTTTCTATTTTGTACATTTTTTATAATGATGATCCACAAGTTTTTTATTGGATTAATAACTAGAGAAGCTGGGGTCTCCATTCCATTAATTTGGTGTCTTTGAAACCCCCTTTTTTTTAACAAGGGTAATAGTATTTTCAGAATAGAAAGGAACTGTTTAGCATGAATATACCAAAATGTCCTTAATATATTTTTTCTCTGTTTGCACCAACAGTTTCTTCAAATATTTTCTTGTTGTTCAATTCCTTTTTCTTGCTTATTTCTCTTTTAATTTTTCGCAGATCTTTTTTTGTGACATTTTTAAAGCCACTTTCTCCTTGTTCTTATTTTGCCAATATTTTCAATTTCTTTTCTGATTGTTTTGTGATTATTATTCAATTTTTTCATGATTTCCAATAACCCATGGTAAAGTTTACATATCTTAAATTAAAAAGTAAATATCTATAACTACAAGATTTGATAAAAAATTATCGGAACTGTTGCTATGGTAACAGAACTAAAGTATGCAATGAAGAATGAGTAAAGCCACTTGACACAGGTTGACTTTGAACTCTGTTGTGCATACACACTAAGTTATAGCATTCTCACTCATTTCCATTGTTTATAGCAGTGCTTGAAAGGAAAGTGTATAGAGTGTGGTCATCTCACCATACCACAGATGTTTCATCAGTGACCATGGAATGTGTAGCAGCTTTTGACCAAACACAATATTCCTTATGTTCAACAACCACTATATTCCCCAGATCTCGCCCATTGTGACTTTTTCCTCTTCCAAAATCAAATACCATTGAAAGGAACAAGATTTCAAGATGTAGAGGCAATCCAAGAGAATGTGACAAGGCAGCTGCTCGCTATCCTAAAAAAGGAATTCCAGGATTTCTTCCATCAATGGAAATTATTCTGGATAAAGTGTGTGCTTTACTTCAAAGGAGATTAAATGTCAAATTGATAGGTGTTGTAGTTTTCTTTTTATAGCATCAGTCCTGATAGTCTTTGATCAGACCTTGTATACTATTATATATAATTATTTATTATATAGTACACTATACTGTTATATATCTGTTTATTTACATTTGAGTTACATAATAAAATCTCACACCATTGACTAATACATTCAAAAGGAAACTACACCCTTTTAGTCATTATAGAGAACTATTTTTACCTTCCATTGATATGGCTGGTACTACCCTTCAGGATAGCAATTCTTTGCACCTTCTTAGTGAAATGCTTATATTGAATCAATTGCTAGGTCTGCTGTTAGGAAAGTTGGTTCACTGTATCATGCTGGTTAATTCTTCTTGCCAGAATCCTTCTTGCATGTTTATAAGTCTACCATTCATCTGTGCATTGAATATTTCTGCCATATTCAGTCTGGTGACCCTGCTTATATATCTTGAGATATGTGACAAAATTCAAAAAGGTATGGTATATAGAGATAATGGTTGGGCTAATACAAAAGTAAAGGTCAAATTTACTGTCTATAGTACCATTTTTATTATTGACTATATGTGGTTACAGTTGTTAAAGTGGGTGACTATTGTCTTAGTCCTTTTGGGATTTAATAGTTCATACGGGGTTGTTGTGTCTTTGGTTGACAAATTAATTTGTTAAAATTCATCCTTTCTTTTTCTTCTGGAGTTGTACGTCCAGTCAAACTCACAGCTGAAGAATCTCCCACCCTTGCATCTTGAACTGCTACATCGAACCAATTTCCTCACTTCTCATTGCACACATGGTTTTTTTCTTCTTTTTTTTATTTGGCCTAACATATCTGTGTTTTCCATTTGATTTTTGGCTGGACGTGTTTTTGTTGGTTAATTTTTTTATGATGTTTGCCAACCCACATAAGCTATGCCCAGGTTCTGTCAATTACCAAGGATAGGAACAATAGAAGGAAAGGAAAGGAAGTATGTGTATGAGAGAGAAATAGAGCATTTTCTTTGTCATTTTCTTAGTGAAAAAGAAAGTGTATATTTCCATATGGTGTTACTACTACCTAATCCTACTGCAAAGGATTTGTAATGTTATCAATCTTGACATCAATCACTTTTCCCATTGCCGTGATGTGTCTTCTTTGTCGGTTCTATAAATATTTTCGTGACAGTTGTTTTAATGAACTTTCAACACTTGGTAGCTCAACTACATAAATTTAAGAATACTACTAGATTGACAATTAGATTTCATCATTTTTCTGTTGAAATTGCTAAATGTAAGCATAAGTTCTATTCTAATAGTTTCTTCATTCATACTTTTCACCTGTATGACTCACTTCCGGTTTGTTGCTTCCCTGCCACATATGATCTTCAAAAATTTGAATATACTGTCAATCTCCATCGTCTTTCTTCCTGAATTCTGTTCTTTTATTGTCTTTATTCCTCACTTATGTCTTCTCATTTTCTTTCACTTGCAGTAACCTCTTGAATCTCAGTGGCATTATTACCTTGCTTGGGGTACACAAAAAAGAAAAATTATTGTAAATATTTCTAATAAAAATAGATATTATAAACTGAAATTAACATATAAATAAAAGTATATACTGAAAATTTTACCAATATCAATTAATACAAATTTTATTGTGAAAACAATTACTTACATAATAAAATCTGATATATTATAGTTAGACTATTTATGAAGATGTAACTGTTGCTGAAATAATATTCTGATGTACAAAACAAATGATCTATTCCCTTACTTTGACATGGCTTCTGGGTACACAATATTTTTACCTCTCTCACTGGGTGCCAGTTTGGTAAGATTGTTTGGAAATCCAACCTTAAAACAACAATGGAAATACACTGCTGAAATTAGTTTAAAGTCATCAGTCTTAAGAGATTGCTTTTTTTGTTTTGATGATTGTTTGAGTTGAGTTTCAGTGTGAACTGAAGTAACTTGAATTTAAAGGGCAAGTCTGTTAGAATTATGAATATCCTGAGTATGAACACATAAAATTCCTTCATTTGACTTGAAATGGCATACTGTTCTCATTCATTACCTCTGGTGACTATCTCAGCTTATGTCAAAGTTAATATCTTGTAACTTTTTATGCCAAAAATATTGGTCAATGAGCCTTGTCATTTGAACTTTATCATGACAAAGACACACAGTCAGGATTGACATTTTATTTACCAGAATTGTAAAATAAAATATTACAAATAACATGATAAATGTAGATTACAATGAAATTTTCCAATTTTTATCAGCAGCTATTTGAATAGCTAATAAATTGTTTGTCCAATAACATTTTCTAATAATAAAGTCCATCATCATCATCATCCCTTTGACTTTTGTAATCGTAGGGAGAAATCTGAATGCAGAAGCCATATTGAATCTCATCCACAACAGTCTATCAACAGCAGCCATCAGCAATTCTGGTATAGTCATACTTGTCCATTGTTTGACATTATCCAACCAGTTTTTGCATTGGTGTCCTTTCCTACATCTCGTCCTGGGTAAGACGTTAAACTATGTCCAGCTGCAAGGCCTCTGATCATGAGGTTTTGAGGAGCATGGAACCACCTCTTAATAGCTGGTGTTCCCAGGTCCACCTTGACCCGGGGTGGTAGCACCTGTTAGGGTCCAAGCTATTGGCAAATAGTTAACTCTTATCAGGAATTATTTTTTAGAAAAAAATTATTACCAGCAATACAATTTTGAAGGAAATATATTACCAGAAACAGATTTGACAAAACAAAATATTACAATCAATAAAAATTTCTGTCAGCATTAAATAACCCATTGAGGTTGATATGCCATAAAACAAAATAAACCAAACCAATCTAAACAGAAGAATACATATTCTATTCATATGAATCTATCCTAAAAATGTTGTCGGCATTAAATAACCCATTGGGGTTGATATGCCGTTAAACAAAATAAATCAAATCCAAATTCTTTCCTACATCCACCTTCAATGATGCTTTGCATGATGGTCTTGCACAGGCTGTTGTGCCTTGTAATATGTCCAAACCATGCCATTTTTCTAATAAAGTCAATACAATAATTAAATTATATCTCTTTTAATAAAATCAGTAAAATTGGCATGCTATAAATAAATAAAATTAAACTTAAATTTCACAGCCTATGAAAAGATGAAAAAAACATTAAATGAAGAAAATATTTTATTTGATAGCATGAAGTACAGTTTAATTTAAAGGTATCAGGTGATCCAATTAATACTGTTTTTAATTGTCATTTTTTTTCTTTTTAGAAAGATCCCCACCATTTATTGAAAGAATTGAGCAAGATGTGTATACTTGCTGAGTGTACATTAATCCTGGCCTTCTCGTAAGTTCAGTTTGTGAATATTTTTTGTTATTACACTGGCTTTTGTTTCATATTTCTTTCTTCTCATGAATCCCTTATTTTTTTTTAACTGATTTTTTTTTATATAGACAAACCTATTTAGACTAGTGTCATCTTGGTTGTTGTACTCTCTAGTTTGAAGAGGGCTTTGTTTTGTAGGAATAGAATCATAGTTCTATAAAATGCTGATTTGTTGAAGAGTTAAAGATTGGCACCTGAAATTTTGATCACTAAGATTAACCCTTTCAATCTAATTTCTGTAATCCTATTTGCTTGTGGCATAATTATACTGTTTGGATATTTTCTTCCTACCCTTAAAAACAATTTTGTTTGAGAACATGTTGAATCTAGAGTAGTGTTTATTGAAGGTCTCATTATTAAAAAAATACTATAAACATTGGTTGTGCAAAAGTTGGATTGAAAGGGTTAATGTATTAAGGAATGAGTAATATTAGATTTGAGTGCAATGGCTGGGTACAGAGTTCAAACCTGACCGATACTTTCTTCTGCCCTTCTCTTTGAACGGTTTTTCTTTTTCACAATGTGCAAATTAAAAAAAAAAAAAAAACAAGTTATTTATTGAAACTAGCATAGTATTCATTAAAAATACAGTACTTCTGCCTGGGATCAGTAGATGCTCTGTGGAAAGTGTTATAAATACGCACACACATTATAGCCATTTGCTGCCTATCTGTCCATTTTCCACACAACAAGTTTAGGATATACAAGAGAGGGACGAATAATGTGAAAGAGGAAAGGTTGAAGGTCGGTAAGAAAAAAAAAAACTTGAGAAAAATGAAATGCAGATGAAAGCAAAAGGAGGAAGGAGAGACATAGGTTTGCAATTTTGAATTTTATAACTCCTTTACCCTGTTGATCTTAGTGTGAAACTATAAATCATGTATTTTCTTTTGGAACCTGACATAAAATTGGAAAATAATTGTTTTTCTGCATTATGCTCTTAATTATCCTTGTAGTTTGATATACAATAGCACTTGGAGATTTTTACAGTAAAATCTCTTCAGAGTTTTAAATTTCAATGTAGTAGTCTGCACTTATCTTAATTTTACAATAATAATTTTTGGTAAATATTTATCTCACCATTTTTGTACATATTTGGTCACATTACTCAACCATTGTACTCAAATCTAGTATTACTCATTCCTTCATAATAACTTAATACTTTTTAGTATTTCATGATACTTTTTAATAAGCATTACCCTTTAGATCCAGACTGTTTTTAAAAACAAAGTAAGTTTTTTTTTTTAATTTTTATGATGGTGCTTCAAAAAGTTTGTGGAAAAAGTCCATAACTAAAAATCATATGGAAGGATTTTGATTTCAATGTCCCTGAACATTCTTGTACTAATGTGTTATAACATGTTCAAACATGAACCCTTTATTGCTGCCAGTTGGAAGTCGGGCACTATTCAAGCAACATGGAATCCACCAAAATCAAGGCCAGAACAAACATTAAATTCCTGGTGAAACTCGGTTGGGAGAATAGGCAAATCATTGATGCTCTGGAAAAAGTTTCTGATGACAATGCCCCAAAGAAATCAACATACAAAATGGATAAGTCAGTTCAAAAGTGGAAGAAATGAAATTGAAGATGAGCCCTGTAGTGACAGGCCATCAACGTCAGTTTGTGAGGAAAACATTGATGGCTGTTCACAACATGATTGAAAAGGATAGTCGGGTAACCACTAAATTAGTAGCAGACACACTCAACATCTCTGTGGGTTCTGCATATGCAATTCTAGTGGAGAGTTTGGGGCTAAGCAAGCTTTCCACTTGATGGGTCCCTAAGCTGTTGTGCTCAGATCAACAGCAAAAAAGGGCAGATCCTTCAATGGAAATTTTGAACAAGTAAGATTAGGACTCTGAAGCTTTTTTGCAGAGAATTGTGATAGGGGATGAAACATGGCTCTACCAGTATAATCCAGAGGACAAAATTCAATGAAAGCAGTGGCCACTCAGGGGTGGAAGTGGACCAATCAAAGCAAAATCTGAGTGTTCAACACAAAAGGTTATAGCCACTGTCTTTTGGGATGCACAGGGGATTTTGCTTCTTGACTTCCTTGAGAGCAAGAAAACAATTACATCTGCCTTTTATGAATGCATTTTGAGAAAACCATTCCAAAAAAAATCTCAGAAAAACGCCCTGGAATGCTGCATCAATGCATCCCTTTCCACCACAACAATGCACCTGCTTATGGCACTCACCAGACAAGAGCTGTGCTATATGAATTTTGATGGCAAATCATCTGACATCCACCTTACAGACCTGATTTAGCCCCATCTGACTTCTTTTTGTTTCCAAACTTAAAAAAAATCATCGAATGGTACCAATTTTCCATTGGTTGAAGATGTAAAACGAGCTGCACTGACATGGTTCAGATCACATGAACCTCAGTTTTACTCAGATGGACTTAAAGGCTGGTGTCAATGTTTGCAGAAGTGTATTGACCTTAATGGAGCATATGTTGAAAAATAAACATCATAACTGAAACCGTTTTTTCATACTGTCCTTTTTCCACAAATTTTTTTGATGCCCCCTCATATTTATTCAATATTTATAAATACAACATTTAGATTAGTTGTGAATAATTTGATAAGATTGAATATTTGATTTAGTAAACCTAAACTTTCTGGCAACTTAAAAATAAAAGATATTTTTACATTAAAAGGTAGAAAAAGAATTTAAGATTACTAGCTTTAAAATTACCACTTTCCACACAGTTACAGTGGAATGTGTCAAATATTATTGCTATTTTGAGAAATCTTAACTGATTTTTTTCTCAACATTCATTTACTACTAATCCAGTGTGTCCAAGTGATGCCTCAGAATCATGATGCTTTTTCATCACAATGTGGGAATGCTAGATCCCTGCAGAGACAGCTTCCAACCAATCTTTTAAATATTTCCCTCTTTTCTGATGTAAACATTCTAATTTCAACAAGATATGACAAAGTTGATAAAAAAACTAGCATCACACTTCAATAGGAACTGTATTTATTATCCAGCTATGTCTTAAGAATTTTTCTTACAGATTTTTCTATATGATCTTTGTTAAATAAATTGCATTATTTTTATATGTTAGATGTTAGCGTTCTCAGTTGTGAATTTATACTTTGTTTTCATTTCATTGTCTTTTCTTTTTCCTCAGTCCAGAGGAAGCTGGTCGATATTTGGAAACTTATAAAGTTTACGAGAACAAACCACCTGATATGATCATGGAGAAAAGTGAACATGATTACATGTCCAAAGTAAGTTACAGAATTTCTCTTGAGATTAGGTTATTTCAGTGATTATTACTTATGATAAGCTTTATTCAGTTTCTCTGATTATAAGCATCTTTATTTTTGTTGACTGGTAAGAATCAAGTTAAATGTAAAAAAACTTTCATAGTTATTAAATAGAGAAATGTTATCTTGGAAATTTTGTTATTTTCTCAGCTTAACTCAGTTTGGCACTAGGCCACATGTATGGAGCACCAAATTAATATCAAACTCACTACTCAGTAGTAATGGTCAGCCAAACTAGCTCATTAACCATTAAATCTTGGAAGTGATTGTTCATTCTGAAATGTTAAATTAATATTGTGAAGTTTGGGATTTTAATGTTCTTAAATACTGGGCTTACGACTTTGAAATTTTATTTACTATTTATTTATTTTTTCCTCAATAGGAATAGGTAGATTCACATATTGCCTAGTTCACACCCATCTACAATCTTCTGAATAGGAGTAGAGGTTTATCCCTTGTCTCCTGTTTAAGATTGGGTTTCTGGTTCCTTCTAGAGTTTTCTCATTCTTTTTTACTCCCAGTAGCCCTTTGCATCTTAATGGCATTATTGCCTTCATGTGAATTGATTAAGTAAAATGACTGAATATGTATTTAAATGTACTGCATGTTTCATTTTACACATGAGAAACTCTAAATATCTTAACCATTTAATTATCATGAGTATTTCATTCCTTGATGGATTATCCTGTGTATTTTATTCTCTAATTGATTATCATGAGTATTTCACTCTTTAATGGATTATCCTGAGTATGGGTCTTTTTTATATTGTATTCTTTTGAGAACATCACATGTTAATTCTGACAGCATCAATTTTGTAAGATTAGTGATAAACAACTTTCTGAGCTAAATTTGGAGTTTTCATGTCTCTTATAAACTGAAAAAAAATTTCCATTTGGTAGCAAGGATTTTAGCTTTGTAAATAAATATATTTTGTACATGTTTTTAAGCAGCAGTATTCCAAGTTTAGGGATGAAAGATGATATATGGAATACTTGCTCGGTTTACTTAGAGATGTTGTTATAGGTTGCATTAAAATAGATAATCTTTTATTATCTTATTTTAATCTAGTAGGGTATGTTTTTAAGCGAAAAAATTGAACAAAGGAAAAAACATTTTCCGGTATATTACATACTCTTAATTTATTAAACAATAAAAACTTTCCTCTAAAGTGAAACATTTAAAAAAAAAAAAAAATTATGGAGTAAGGGGATATAATTCTGTTGTTTTTACTTTCCCACTTTTGACATGCAATTTAAATTTTCCTTTGACTAATTGCTTTATTCATCCAACTTTTTCTGGTTTCTTCATTAGAGCATTATAGAAAAATTGATAAAAACAAGAAAAATTCATGCTTTGAAAATTAAACTATATTCAAGTGTTTGTCTCTTTTAGAAGGATTTCCATTATAAATCCCACACCATCCTGGGTAAGACAATAAACTACATCCAGCAACAGGGTCTCTGATTGGGAGGTTTAGATGAGCATGGAGCTGCCTGTTAATTGCTGGTGTTTCAGGGTACATACTGACTCAAGGTGGTAACACCTGTTGGGGTCTGGGCTATGGGTGAATGGTTGACTCCTGGACTGGGATCAAAGCACTATGAAGGTGTAGGAATGGGTTTTAATAGCAGAAATACTTTGTAAAAAATTATTACCAGCAATAAATTTTTGAAGAAAAAGTATTACCAGCAATACATTTTTGAAAAAAAATTACCAGCAATATACTTTTTAAAAAAAAAAATTACTAGCAATATAAATCTTGTCGGCATTAAATAACCCATTGAGTTTGATATGCCGTAAAACAATCCAAACCATAAATCCCACAGTAACTAAAAATTAAATAATCTTTTAATTCCCATGGATTTTGAATCAAAACCAGGCTTTCCTGCTTGTTCCATTTAGTTTTCTATGTATTTACAATTTCAGTAAAAATCTGTGAATTCATTCTATTTTGTTTTATTTTCATATTTTTGCAGTTAACAGATTGTTTAACTACAGTGAAGTCTGTAAACAAAACAGATTGCGTGAATTTGATTTCAAGTTTCAAGGTCAGACAATTTCCATTTTTTTTTAAATATTTTTTTTTACATAAAATCTTATATTTATATACTCTAGCATTCTTCAGGTGATTGGAATTTTGAACTGAACCCATTATTTCGTCCACTGGGGTAGATTGTTCTAGTTCCACGTGCCATACCTCTTCCGGATGTATCAGTTATGTCCCTTTAACTCAACTCTCCATGTTTTTGTTCACCTCAGCTGTAGCCAGGTATTGAACTCACAACTCTTTGGGTCAAGTCACTGGATTTAACCAACACTGGGCCTTGTGTCCTCAAGTACAAAACAAGGGTTCAGTTTGAAATTCCAATCACCTGAAAAAGGCTGGAGCATACACCGACCGAAATGTTGTGAATATGGCAATATACATTTGTGGTCCATGGCAAAATTTTTATATTTAAAATTAAAAAATAATTATACTATTATATATATTTATTTACAACAAAATATATAATCCTTGAGTTGCATAATAAAATCTTACACCACCAAATAAGTTGTTCTAAATATTTCTAATAAAAATAGATATTATAAGCAGAAATTAACATATTTATAAGTAAATTTAACCAATTACACCATGTTCATGGCATGTCACAGGCAAATTTGTTTAAAAATATACTCAAAATACCATCTATAAAAAAGATCTGACAAAAAATAGATTACTGGATTTTGGAAAAATTTTATTTCAAAAATACATTTGTTTACAGCAAATGTCTGCATCTGTCAACACAGTTGAATCAAAAATCAAAAAGCCTGCTTAAGTTTATACACATCTCATATGATTGTTAAGCTATTGCTCTCTTTATATGTACCATGTCTTTTTAGGATATGGGTGATCATGACTCTCCACAGTTTTAATATATCTTTTGTTACTCTTAACAGTATTTACTCTTTTGGACACCTTTTTGTTTTTGTGGTACTTGTTCCTTTATTCATTAGTACAAAATTGTAGGTTACTCACTGCTTTTCTCTATTCCTCTTTATATTTTCCCATTCTGGGTATGACAATAAACTGCATCCAGCAGCAAGGACTCTGATCAGGAGGTTTTGATAATAATAATAATATAATTTCTCCTTCAATTTTGTAGGAAATATTGTATTATCAGCAATATAGTTTCGTAAAGGAATATTACCAGCAATGTATTTTTGGAAAGATGTTACTGGCAATACATTTTTGGAAAAACGTTACCATCAGTACATTTTTGTAAAATATTACTTGCAATCGATTTTAAAAGGAAGGATATTGCTAGAAATAGTTTTTTGAAGAAAAATATTACCAGCAATAAAAATTTTGTCAGCATTATATGACTAATCGAGGTTGATATGCCGTAAAACTCACTCCCTCAATCAATCTTTATATTTTCATTGTATTTTGTGAATGTTCAATTCTCCAAACCTTTTGTTTTATTAAGTGTTCCCAAACTTTCAGTTGTCTTTTTCTGATTGTTATCAACAGTTTCTTTAAAGTTTCTGTTCTTATTAAAACTTCCTTATTTGCCACATTCTATGTCCATAGCATTCACATCTTGGTTAATGCAAGTCTTCATTTCTAACACATTTTTTGATCCCTTAGTATTTTTTCAGTTTTTGAAAAGTATCTTTCACTATTCCTTTGTGCCATTGAATTTTTGTGTCATACTTTTCATTGTCTCACCCTGTTGGCGAGGTTTCAGAATACACTGACTGCACTCTGCAAGGGGTAAAAGTCCCTCCAGAGAGTCACTTGTTTGTCAGGTGTGGCAACCCTTATTGTGTGAGGACAGGATCCTGGTGACTGAGTAGTTGATGACCCTGTAGTTTAAGAGGCCATTAACTGTAACATTTCACTTTGACCCTTACTAGACGGGCAGTTGGAGAGGCCTGATCCGATCAATCGGCTATTCATGTCAAGCCCCTATCATATAATATATAACCCACATCAAATTTACAGCTAACACCACATATCTTCCCCATTCTACCACTAATACTTGACTAATCTATTCCCAAATGTATGATATAAAAAACGGTAGCTAAGGGTCAATCGGTTTGAAAGAAAAAGAACTCAACATGGCTGATTTACCCCTGATGTTCTGAGGTAATTAAGCTGAGGAAACTAAGGAATTACAAGTACTTGAAGTTCCTCTCAAGGCAAGTATATCATCTATGTATCCCTGTCATGGCAAGGCGAATGGGTTTCCCTCTTGCCATGTCCCAATTTTGGACTCTGAGGTGGGTGGGGCAGTGCGATAATGATGAATTTAAAAATTTCCTTATGGAAAAAAAAAACCTAAAAAGGAGACTAAATGTTGATTCAGGATTGGAAACAGATAATGAAGAATTCTCTGATCACTTCCCAAGATTCATAATACTTGAGTCAGATGGGGACACTCCTCTAACAAGTATGTCATCTTTTTTATCCCAAAAAGTGATATCTATGAATATCACCCCCACAAAAGTAAAGAAACTGAAAAATTGGATTCTATTGGTAGAGGTAGGAAATAAAAAGTATGCAGACACCTTACTAAAAATGACTAAATTTTATAAAACCAGTATAAAAAGTTACTCAAACAAATACTTGAATACTTCTAAGAGAGTGGTAAGAAGTGGGGAGTTGTCTCTATGCACCTTGAAAGAAATGAAAAATGAATTAAAGAACCAGGGTGTCATGGACGCCAGAAAATTGTCCATAAAAAGGGATGGACAGATGATCCAAACAAACACTTACATAATAACATTTAATACTCTGCAAATTCGGACAAGCATAAGAATAGGGTATTAAATAAACAAAGTGGAGCAATTTATTCCAAACCCTCTCCAATGTTATAAATGTCAAAAGTTTGAACATCACGAAGATGTGTGCAGGGGTGAATAAACCTGTAAAAAATGTGGCAAGAAATCCCCAGACCATGACCAAAATGAATGTACTAAAAATCCCAAATATGCAAACTGTATGTAGGACCATCCAGCTTATGTTACAGCAAACCCAATATGGCAAAAAGGAAAATAAACAATGAATTTGCAACACACATAGAATATCTCCTTTGCACAATCTCAAGAAAAGAGTTATGCTGATATGACTAGAGAGAAATGAAACAAATAAATGAAAATAAGTCAGATGACTACCAAAGTTTAGTCACAAGATTACTGCAACTAGGACCAAATGACTGGCAAACATTCATAAATGAATTGAGACTTAGTCTCATTATGAAGACCCCACACATAAATGAATCATACCAAAAAGCATAACAAACCTTGGTTTAACCAAGAATACAAAGAAGCTATTAAAAATGCCACACAACTTTAAGGAAATTTGATAAAAATCCAACAGCAGAAAATCTGGATAACTATAAAAACTGCAGAGGATTAGCAAGACAAAGAATCAAAAAGAAATGCTTGGAAAAACTTTGTAAATAAGATGAATACTGACACAAAAGTAAAAACAGTATGGAAGATATTCCAGAAAAATATCTGGAAAATGCAACAATACCCGACTGAAACACCTTATCAAAAACAATAAAACAGCCACCAACAAGAAAGATATAACAAACCTACTGGTAGAGAACTTTGCACAAAACTCTGCTAATGAAAATTGAAATCAGATATTTTAAAACATTAAACACTGTGAAGAAAAAAAGAAAATAAATTTCCAATCAAAAAACCAGGAAAACAATAACCATCCATATTCCATCAGAATTCCAAGAAGCCCTAATCAAAATGAAGCAGTTGGCCTAGATGAAATAAATTCCTGAAACAACTACCACCAATATCCATGACATATCTACCTGAAATCTACCACAATATAGGCTCAGTAATGAAGTACCAATGCTGTGGAAAAAAAGCCACAGTGATTCCAATACCCAAATTCACAAAAGATTCTACAATCTCAATATTCAAAAACCTAAGGAACCCTCAAACTACAGACCAATGTCCCTGACCAGTTGTATAACCAAAACAATAGACTAATCTGGTATTTGGAGACCAACAATCTGATTATCAAGTACCTGTCAGGGTTTAGAAACAATAGAAGTACTACAGATCATTTAGTATGACTAGAGATTTTCATACATGAGACATTCAGCCAAAAGGAATATGTATCAGCAGTTTTCTTTGATATTGGAAAAGCCTATGAAATAACATGGAGACACAGCATTATGAAAGACATGAAAGATCTCAGTCTGAGAGGCAGAATGCCCATATTTATAGGAAGTTTCTTGAAAGATAAACTTCCAAGTGCTAATCGAATTAACACTCCCAGATTCCAAAATGCTCAAAATAGGAGTACCCCAAGGCAGAATATTGTCAGCTACTTTTAGTTTTAAAATTAATAATATTGTAAAAAATGTAAACCCTGGAGTAGATTGCTCATTATACGTAGATGACTTTCTCATCTGCTATTGTTCAAAACATATCAATACAATAAAAAGACAATTAGAGTTATGCTTGAATAAAATTGACAAGTGATCCATTGAAAATGGATTCAAATTCTTCAAAACAAAAACTAAAAGTATTCACTTTTGTCAACACTATAAACTCCACAATGACCCTGTACTCAAATTAGAAAACATTGAAATACCGACTGTGAAACAACACAAGTTCCTAGGTATCATATTCAATATCAAACTGTCATTCATACTCCACATTCAAAACCTGGAAACCAAATGCAACAAAGCCCTATAACTGATCAGTCCTATCTGACACTGACTGGGGAGCAGATCAGAAAACCTTACTAAAATTATATAGAACACTGATAAGAACCAAGCTGGACTATGACTGTTTTATATATGGAGCATCTAGAGAGTTATATCTGAGGGAACTAAATACTATACAACATCAAGGACTCAGACTAGCCCTCAAGGCATATAACATCTCACCTGTAGAAAGCCTATACACAAAAGCAAATGAACCTTCTCTAAAATTGAGACCCAAAAAATTTGCTCTACATGAAACTGTCATTATGTTCACTAAACCCAGCCTACAGTAACACCTTTTATCCACAACACATTTTTGAGAAAAA